TGGGTCTAATGGTTAGGGATACAGGCTTTGGAGTGGATGGCTGGCTACTTAAAGTCTGTATGACTCTGAACAAGAATTTTAATCCTCTACATCTCAGCCTCAGGATAACATCCATTTTAGAGTTATTTGTGAGAATTTATACAACATATTAACAATATATATAAAATGATTAGCACAGTATGTAGCATATTATAAAATTTAATAAATAATAGTTATAGAACTCTGAAGGATGACAGATGAAGGTACATCCCAGGCAGAGGCACCCTGACAGCTGAAGGATGAACATGGCCTAATCAGTGCATCTACTTAGCTAGAGTGGAGGGTTTATGTAGATAAAGAGCAAACTCAACTCTGAGGGGTCTTCAAAGTCAGGCTAGGAAGTTCTAATGTATATTATCACTTATTGCATTTATTACAGAATAAAGACATACCCGACAACCATCTAATAAATCTTCAGGTGCCTGAAATGCACTGATGTCCAGATTTTCTAGATTTTCAAGTGTAGGCTCCACTTTACTATTAAGAACTGAATTACATATCGATTCATTTATGCAACTTGCATTGATGTTGGAAATATGGCTGACATCTGAAAGAGTACGACCTATGTATTAAAAAAAATGTATAAATTTACAGAGATAAAATAATTGTGATTACTATTTTCCTATAGATTAACTTTTCTTAAACACAAAGGGCTATGAACAATTTCCAAAGGAAGATACAAATGCTTCTACTGAAATCTCGTGGGCAAAGTATGAAAACTGAAAACAAAACTAAGTTTCCTATCTCATTTAAACGAAAACACATTTAATATATTTTTTCTTAATAGTTGCTTGCTTCTGATAAAAAATCTGAAGTTGTCGGTTATAAGGTCCAAGAAGCTTATATTTGAAAAAAATTTACATTTGCTAAGCTGCCAACACAGCACCTACAGAACAGAAACAGCTTTAAATTTTATACGAATACAGATATCTATAATAATTGCAGTGAATAAAATGTACTAATATTTGCACATCAGTTGAGGTTTAAAAAATTAATTCTTTTAAGTCTTTATCTATTAGTATTCTTAATTTCTCTAATCATCTTTTGCATTTTGTATCATTTGCATCAGGGTATGAAAGAAAGTACGCTTTCACTATAAAAAAAAAATCAGAAGTTCTGGACTAATATTTTGTACAATTTGGTTGTTTTATTACACACTTATGCCTGGAAGCATTCCCAACTGCATCTCACTGATCCTAGTAACAAATCAATTCTTACATAAAAAACTGATTGCCTTCAAAATGATCATTTACTTTAATCCCAATGAGACTTACCGTCACCTGTAGTGATCTGGCCAGTAGGAGTTGAAGTATCAGGCATAGCCTTTGTTTCTGGTCTAGGTTCTGTCCTGTATATGGATTCATCCTGACAAAAACCTTTCTCAACACTGTCAAAAAACCATTTCGTGGTCACACAGTGTACATTCCATCTCTTGGCACATTCATATTTTTGACCTATCATGTTCGTTAAGAGAGAGAGAGAGAAATTCAAATCATTAAAATCTATCTTTGTAGAAATATTCAAATTATGATAGAGTATTTAAAAAAACTCACCAGAGACAAAATTAGTTACCAGTAATTACTCTTAAAAACTATGCCATACAGCATATTAAAAAGTAATATTTTAGGGGGCAGGCCCCGTGGCCTAGTGGTTGAGTTTCCTGCGCTCTGCTTCGGCGGCCCAGGGTTTCACCAGTTCGGATCCTGGGCGTGGACATGGCACTGCTCATCAAACCATGCTGAGGCAGCGTCCCACATACCACAACTAGAAGGACCCACAACTAAAAATACACAACTATGTACCGGGGGGCTTTGGGAAGAAAAAGGAAAAACGAAATCTTCGAAAAAATAAAAATAAAAAAATAATAAAAAGTAAAAACATAAAAAAAATATTCTCTAGAATAAAGATTGTAGAACACCAAAATGAACTGCAATTTTAAGGAATTCTTATTGATAATGTATTTTTCTAATAACTGCCTCATGTTCTGCAAGGTGTATCTTCAAGTCAAAACTTCTAGTTCATTTAGTAAAGCTGATACACTCAATTAAAAACTAAGTCAAGCCTTTTAAATTTGTCATTACAAAGAAATGTAATTTAGCTATATCTATTAGCTTTCTTGTTATTGATGCAAATTTCTTCTCAATTATTTGGTAACTGTGTAGGGGAGTTTTTTTTTAAAAAGCAAAAGATCTGATAATAAATTTAGATAAAACACCACTGGAAATTTTTGCTTCTTTATATTTATTCAATGACCTGGATAAACACTAGGAGAGTCATGTAATTTTTCTACAGATTGTGAAACAAACTATCTTTGCAAGATGTTAGGGAAAAACTATCATACTAAATTTATGACACGTCAGAAGCAAAAGCTATACTGTAAAGACTTTAAAATGTTAAATACTAGAGAAAATTTTGCATTTGTCCATTTGGGAAACAGTTTTACCTTTCGGTTCTTGCACAATGAGGTGTGTACATTCATTCATTTTCAACTGCCCCATGTATTGACCTCCATGCTTAATCGTGAGTTGCTGAACTGCCTTCCTCTCTAAGCCACACAAGCCAGTCACACAGATTATACAACCAAGAAAGACAGGACACTTGAAGTCTTCCACGTTTATATCAGTGTATCTAGCTATTTTCCTGGGGAAAACAAATGATAAAAAGGAAAAAAATTTAACATGTTAAATATACCAGATAGTTTAAAATTTACCAGAATAACGACAAACAACAGAAATATCACTAATACTTTCCTCATTTTTTAGGATTTTAATCACTTTTAAGATAAGGGGAATGGGGACACACACTCAGAATTACACTAACTGATCATCTAGCTCAACATCATCTCTAGTGAAAAATAATGTTTCAGACGGCGTCTCTCAAATAAAACTGTTTGAAGGGAAAAATATATATTTCATTAACTCTAAGTCCATGCTGATCAAAGTGGGGTGTATTTTTCAATAAGTCTGAATCTCCACCTAAAAACCCAAAGATTCTTTAGTTACCTACTTAAATAACGGACTTTTCATCCTTCCATTATAGTATATAAATAATAAGCCATGATTTTTGGCAGAACACCAACAATATCGATATCATCCTGTTGCCATTCTAGGCAGATGTGCTGAAGAAACAGCCAGGCTGGGAGTGAGGGTGCCAAGGGGGAGATATATTTAGGATGTCCTGGATGGTATTGAAAGGAAGACCAGAAAAATGCCTATTTAATTCAAACAATGGCACCTGGACTTAGGGTTGCTAATCTAGTTTTAGGGGAAAATCAATTCTGGCCCTTGAAATAGCTCTAAGCTCCATGAGGGCAGGGATGCTATCCTGTTTTGATCACTACGTATATCTAATGCCTAGCTCAGGCCAGGTACATAAAATGAGCTCTACTGACATTCACTCAGGGACTGGCCCCATGGCATAGTGGTTAAGCTCACGTGCTCTGCTTTGATGGCCTGGGGTTTGCAGGTTCAGGTGCCGGGTGCGGGCCTATGCACTACTTATCAAGCCATGCTATGGCTGGCATACCACATAGAAAAAATAGAGGAAGCTGGGCAGAGATGCTAGCTCAGAGCTAATCTTCCTCAGCAAAAAAAAAAAAAAAAAAAAGTGTATAACTCACTATATTTTTTTAAAAAATTTACTGAATGATCACATCTCAGTTAATGGCTTTTACATATGTTTATATCCAACATTACATATGCTCCCTTTGGGAGGGAGTACGACTGCCAAAATGATTAATTTACATACGAGCACAGTATTAAAGAATAATGCAACAGAAGAGTTACAGTTGCCACACTAACTATCTTAAGTATTTCACAAGCATTTTCTGCTAAAAACAATTTTATTATCAAAGCATTTCTTACCTTGCAGCTAATACTAACCCCATAGTTCATTCTACCTATCAACTTATACCTCGTTTGTTTTCATTGGAGAAAACAGTAATAACCCCATTTTTCTCCCTGAATAACAAATCCAAAGTGGATACTATAAAACCTCCCCTATGAAAACCCACAATATGCCAAAATGATTGAATGTACCACTTTTTCAAATCTACAAAATATCTAAATGTCTTTCTTACTTCTCCTGGGACTTCTCCCAAAGTGTTTTTACCCAGGAAGGAAGCAAAATAGGTTTCTTCAGGTTCGCAGCAACTAAATATTTCTTGCTGCCAACTTCTCCTGCAATAAGGTGAGTGACTGATACATTAAGGTCTCTGTATACGCGTCCGCCCATCATTTGTACATATTTATGAACTTCTTCCTGTGGCCCCAAAAGAAAATGCATTATTAATACTGAAGCAAATCATCTCTCTCCCTTTTTTACACGACATCCTATAAATATCTTTTGTTGTTGTTAGCTTGAATACACAAATGTTTCTCACCACTACGAAGTTAAATAATTAACTAAATTACTTTTTGGAAGATAAATATGAATTATAAATAAATTTTATATATTATTTTCCTAAATTTATCCCTTTCAGCTCCATGAATTTATTAAACTATGTTGCTTCCATAATAAACAATATATTTTAATATACCATACGTATGTTTTAAACAATATAAATTATATGTATAATATATAAGAAAAATACATTTTAAATCTCTCTCTCAGAATCCTTTTTTTTGATTAACCATCTATGGTGGAAAAATCCAAGCGATTCAAAAATAAACTCATCAACCACGTAGGGAAAAAAGTGACTTTCCTTTTAAATTAAAAGAAAAAACCTTAATTTGCCAGTTTTCAATACAACAGATTCCACTGCATTCAATTTACTAAAAAATAAAAAAAGATATACATTGCTGTATAGTAACTTTGTTATAAGTCATGAACACCAAAACTTAAAGGTCTTTCAAAGTATCTCCTACACAGTGAAAAATGAAGTGTGGAAATAAACAAATACACGTTATGATATTCCTCTCAACACCTACTCTTTTCTCTTTTTCCAGGCTTGTACAAGATACGGTTACATCAGACATAACCATATTATAAACTGGATGTTCGGCTCTTGGAACACATCGCTGGTGCTGCATACAAAATATGACTACTTGAGGACCAACAATTCTGCAGCCAAGCTACAAAAAAGAAAAAGTTTGGTAAGTAGAAAAAGACCTCCAGTCTTATAAAATTACATTTCGTAATATTTACCAACTCTTTACAGAAGTTGATGACCACTACAGAAAAATCACCAAATTGTTGTAAGAAAAAAAAACAAAGACCATTGTATAATTTCTCAGACACACTACACATTAAATAAACACACACAAAAGCTAATCAAACAACGCAGGCTATCAAAAGAAATAAGCTTCAAGAGCCACGCTCACTCAAAATTGCCATCGAAACTTTAATCTCTGAAACAAACACATTCTTAATAATAGGGGATATGAGTAACATTCTTATACTATAATAATTAGGTATATCCATAATACTTTTCAAATGAAACACCCAGCCAGTGAAGCAGTTTAAAAGTGTAAGAGCCTCCTCTAAAATACTTATGTCACAAAGAAATGTACCATCCTAGGCAGTTTCTATGTTTGTGTTTTAAACACTTTGTCTGCAACTCAATGTCTTTCCAAGCAAGACCCACAAAGACTTTTCCTAAGATACTGCAGGTTACTCAAAAAATGACCTTTCATTTTCATTGATAATTGAGCTAATAAAGATGACAGTCTTGATCATCACCAGCACATTCAAGCCAGACTAAAAAGCCTACAATTGCCAAAGTCACCAGGGCACGACTGATTTAAATACATAGGGTAAATGATTATTGCTATCCTTTTGGTCAGTCATGAGAAAAGTGAGTTTTTGATGCTATTGGTTCTGACAAGCAGTGTTATTTCCAAAAGGAGGGTAAGACCAACAGTGCTTTTGGCAAAAGTGGGCACAGACCTTCCATAAATCGTACACATACTGCATCTACCTACTCTTCTATGTTTTCTTCTCCTTCAAACAAGAATCACTTCTCTGTAATGTGGATGGAATTACAGCCAGTTTACTTTTATTTCAAGGCTTCTCTGTTGTCCAGACACCAAAAAAGTAATGAGTCAGTAGACTCTAGAATCAACAAAAAGAAATAAGATGGCTCATTGGTATATTAGCAGTACTCACCCCCTAAATGCTTCCTTTCAGCATGTAATTTTTCAGACCCTCTACAAGGCAGAGGTACTAAAATTTGGCATGCAAAAGCACACAGGAAAGACAGTAAGTACCAAGTGTTACGTGGAGGGCCTTTCCTACTCTTTATCAGTTCTCCCTGAAATAGCTCCCAATCAAACTGAGTTCAAGGACAGCAGAACTCCATCACTAAACTGTTTCATTACTATAGGGCTCACTTATACTAAGTGAAGTTAAATCCCCTGAAACAGGAAAAGTACATATAACAAAAGCCTACTGTAACATAATTAGCCTTTAAAAATACTATTCTCATTTCCCAAAAGCAAAAGATCCCTCTGGATTCATAATGTGCATAATACTTCATGATCAGTAAAGAACTATGTTCACTGGAGCACAAACAAACCAAAAAACAGATTACCAAAGGAACACACTAAAAGTTAGCAAACCTTTCTGAGGTGATCAAAGACAATGCCACTAAAAGGGTCACAGATATAAAGTGATCGATCATTCTCCCTTATCTTCAATGCCTCTTCTTCTGTAATAATCTGAAGATATTCTTCTGATTGGAACTCTTTTATTGACTGAAAGAAGAATGAAATAAGAAGACACCAGAAATTATTCACTGGTATTTAAGTCCTATGAATTCTATTTTCAAAATCCATCTCAATCTAGCTTTTTCCCTCTTGAAAGCTACCATCATTTGTCACCTGGCCCTCTGCAGACGTCTCCAAAGTGGTTCCTTCTCTCTCCCTTGCCTTAAATCTATGCTCCGTGCAGGAGCTAGTAATCAGGTCATGTCATTCCCTGCTCAAAAACTTCCAAGAGCTTCCCACCACACTCAATAAAATCCACGTTCCTTACAATGGCCTACAGACCTGAGTCTCAGCCCTGCCCATCTCCCCTCTGACCTTCTACCGCTCATCCCTCTTGCTTACTCTAGCCACTCCTGTTTTCTTCTAGGCCTGGAACAAGCTAAGCAGGACCTCATGGAGAGGCTTTGCTCTGGCTCCCACTGCCTGGAATACTCTTCTCCCAGGCCTTCACCTGACTTGATCCCCCACTTCAATCAGATCTGCTCAAATGTCACCTCCTCAGACATGCCTTTCCTGATCGTGCCTCCTAAAATACGCTTCCCCATCCCTCTAGTCTATTTTATGAAGAAAAATAACATTGATATTACGTATATAGAGGTTTTATATAGAGTCTCCTTTATAAGAATGACAGTTTCATCATCTACCTTGTTTGCCACCATATCCTGGCACCTAGTAAGCACTCATTTTCTGAACCAATCTTGAAGTTCTTATGTTAAATAGTTAAGAGTGATCCTTTTAAACGGTTAACTCAGATCATGTTACTCTTCTGATTAAACCCCTCCAGTGGCTCTCCATCTCACCGAAAGAAAAAGCTAAAGTGTTTACAATGGTCCACATGGCCCTACACGATCCCTTTACTCTTACTCTCTGAAGCATCCCTTAATATTCTCCCCCCACCCTTTGCTCACCACACTAGAGCCACACTATATTGGACAGACTCTCCAAGCACTTTCCCAGGGGCCTGTGTACGCTTGTTCCCTCTGCCTGAATCTTTCTTCCCCAGATATCCACACGGCTACCTCACCTCCTCCAAGTGTACTCAAACATCATCTTCTCCACAAAGCCTACCCTGATCACACTCTATTTAAAATCGTAACCTTCTCTTCTCCTTCTCCCCCAACAAACATCCTCCAGAACCCTTAACCTGTTTTGCTCTTTTCTCTTCCCATAGCACTTAGCATCTTGTAACAGACTATATACTTTACTCATTTATCATGTCTGATCAATGTCTATTTCTTCCTGCTGGAACAGAATGTAAGCTGAGAAAGCATGGATCTTTGCCTGCTCTGATCATTGCTGTGTCACAAGTACTAAAATAGTGCTTATCAGATCACGGACATTCAATAAGTACTTGCTGAATGAATGAACTTTAAAGAAAAACGTGCTACATCAGTGCTTCTTAAGACTTGAATGTACACAGGAATCACACTGCGAATCTTGTTAAACTGCAGATTCTAACTGGTAAGTCTGAGGTGGGGCCCTAGGGTCTGCATTTCGAACAAACTGTCAGGCCATGCGAAGGCTGCTGGCGCCTGTGAGTAGCCCGGCTCTATACTACCCTACATCCTCCCATATTCTACTGTAAAGGATGAAACACACTTTTAACAATTAACCAAAAGATGAAGTGTAACCAGTACATGACCGATTCAAATATTTTCAGCACACAAAGGTCTACTCTGGGTAGCAGACAAAAGAAAGCAACTTAATTTTCAAGAAAAGCAGATCTGTCACTTTCAAGAGAAACGTCCTAATAGATTTCAAGCCCCCCAAGATACATAATAATGATATACTTACATCAATTCAAAAATACGTAAGAATGATGTATCTATATTAATGCAGACTACGGCAAATTACTATGAAAATAAGCTGTTATGAAGACATAAAAAGCACAACAAATCAAAAACACTAAAAACAAGAAAATGAATTCACAGATTCAAACAAGCCGTTGTCAACTATCCTTACCTCAAGAGCTTTAAAAAAACATTCAGAATTGTCTGAAGACTTTAAAAACTTCACCAAAAACGGTTCTTTGTCATTCCTGGACATTTTTGAACTGTCAAAATAAAGGAACCATTAACGAGAACAGAAACACATCAAGTACGGAGTTAAATGTTTAAAGCACCTATTTTAATGCACAGACAAGAATGCCTAGAGATTGGCATTCTGGCCTCGCTCATGGACTCGTCCACGATCTTTTCAAGAAACGCAGGAATGTGGGCAAAGTCAAGGGAAAAGATGACAACACCAATCCTTGCAAATCAGAGAATGAAATTAATGTCCCTACACTGAATATACTGAGGGCCTTTACTATGGGGCTCTAAGTCCCCTAAGCTAAAGGGCATTCAATTGCACTTGGCTTAGGGACACACACAACGAATCTGTCCCCGCGCGTCTCCACGGCCCTCAAAGCCTGTCCACCCCTCGGTAAACGGCTTTTATATAAACCTGGAAGCCAGCTAGCAGGACATGCCGCCTACAGGGCCGGCCGCTCCGGCTCCCCAGCTCCCAGGGAAAGGCCCGGCTCTCGGTGCAGCCGCAGCCACGTCCCTCGGGGCCCGAGTCCCACCGCCCGTCCGAGGGCCGGTTACCAGGGCCGGAACCCCGAGGCCAGAAGAGGCGCCGGGCCCTTCGCTGGGGTCCCGCTCCGGCCGCACTCACCTCGGCGGAGCCTGGGTAGGGGTTGTGGGGCGGCGGGTGGGGTCGGGCGCCCCCCCGGCGCACACCCGCCCGCCCGCCGCGGCGCCCCCTGCCCGAGGCTACGGCAGAACCCGGAAACAGCCGGGGCCGGGAACCGACTTTCGCGCCAACGCGCGGACGCGCCCGCCTCTTCCGTCGGAAGTGACGCCACCGCTGCTGCGGGAGGAGGCGGGGCGTGTTAGTTGGAGAGGGTTCTCGGCGGCCTTGGGCAGCGCCGCCTGGCGCTCAGGGCTTTGAAGGGCTGGCCGGGTCGGCTTGGCATGGTCCAGCGCCCAGGGCTGGGGACCGCGGCTAGGGGCCGCAGTACCTTAGAGGAGGTGCCATCCTGGGCGAAGGAAAGGCAGCGGAGAACAGGGCGTCCTCAGTGTTGTGCACCTGCCGCCTGCCAGGCAGTGCGCGCAAAACCATATATTACCATTCAGAACAAATCTATGGTATCTGCATTTTACAGATGTCAAAGCTGAGGCTTAGGGAAGTTAAATGATGTGTCCAAGGTCACACAGTAAGTTGTAGAATTAAGATGGCGTCCACGTCTTTTTGACTCTACAGCCTGGGTTCTTTCTCCTCCAATGTAGCAGGAATATAGTCACCGCCTAGCACAGCCAAGAGGTCTGAAGGGAAGAAATAAGTCAGGATGACTTGCATTACACGCCTAGTGCAAAGGGGTCTTTGCCAAGACCTCCCCTTTCAATGATCATCTCATTTCCTTTCTCTATAGCTCCCTGAGTGTTGGCGAGATTCTGGGATGGAACCTAATGTTCAAATGGCAAAGATCGGGGGAGAGGAGGTAAAATGGGACGGCAGAATCTTGTTGATGACCAACGACAAGCTGTTTAGTTAGTGTTTCTCCTCGTTTTATTCTTGACTCTTGAGATTGAGAAGCTTATGACGGTGGATTGAGTAAGGTGAGAGTTTAATGCCATATACCTCGATTGTTCTTGTTTTTCTTTTTAGTGCCTACAGATGGCAGTGGGCAGCTTGAGTCTACGTGTGTGCATACACCCGTGGAAGGTGAGTCAGATCAGTAACCCTGGGACTCAAAAATAAAGGCCCGTTGTTGAGGAGAGGGTGAAGAAAGCTTTAGAAATAAATAAAAGTTACTAGAGGTGTAAAAAAAAAAAAAAAAAGAACAAAAAGGAGATGCCACACTTAATTGTAAAGGCGCAAAGCTTCATGAAGCTGTGGTGCTTTACAGTAGATCAAAGACTCCTGCTTGCACTATTCCCGTTTACTCAGCACTCCTCTGGTATGTGGGCATCACTGTCCTGTGCTATGTAGATGGGAAAAGAGAGGCTCAGGGACTGTGTGACTCGCCCAGGGCCACACAGCCAGGATGTGGCCGCACCTGGGCTTGAGAAGAGGCAGCACCATGACTGGAAACCCTGTCCCCTTCCTGACACACCACACTGGTCCTTGTCACATGCTGCCTGCCCTTCTCTGCACGAAGGTCAGCACCCAGGCAGGAGCCCGTTCCTGACATTTCTGGGGCTGAGTGGAGGCCTCTCAAGAGGAGGAGATTCATAGATGCTTCTAATGAAGAGGACGAGGACAATGAGATCAATCCCGTAGGTTTTAGCAGCTGGATTTGAATAGCAGGGGAGTGGATTCGTCTTTAGAGTATGAGACCAGGTGACAGGTTCTCCCATCTGTGTCTCCACATAGGCAGGGAGGGTCTGTATCTGTCCCTGAAGTACCTAATCTTGGGCATTAGCGAGAACAGTGGTTCTCTATCCAGTGTGGTGCCTGGACCAGCTGCCTCAGCATCACCTGAGAACTTCTTAGCAATGAAAGTTTTGGGCCTGACTTTGGACACGCTGAGTCAGGAATTCTGGGGTGGGTTCCAGCGTTCTGTGCTTTAACAAGCCCTCCAGGAGGTTCTGATGCACTTTTTAAAGTTTGCTTGAACAGCAATCGTTTAGGAAAGTGAAATTGGTGACATGGGTTGTGGTCCATGAAGATTTTGGTGAAAACGAAGAATAGTTGTGATGTGCCCTCAGGAAGCTGCCTCAGAAAATGGGTTCAAGGATTAACTTTTCCCTTACCTCCCTGACATTTAGGATCACCCCCCTGTTTCTTTGTCAGTTTTGTCACCTAGAACCAGACACTCCAGACCCTGCTAGGAGTAGGATTAAAGGGAACTTTATCTGTTTGTAGAATGAAAAAACACAGGAAACAAATATGACAAAATAGTTACTTTTAAAATATAGGTGGTGGGAGTATAAGTATTTATTTCTGTTATATTTTACTATATAGAGAAGATTTATCAAAATTAAAAGATAAACTAAAAATAGATTTTCTGAGGGTTTTATATTTACGTTTCCAGAGCTGTAAATGAATAAATATGTATAAATAAAAGGATGTATAGTTTAAAAATGAAATTAGTAAATGATCTTTATTGCTGCAGAAATAGCAGTGCAAAACATTTGTTTAAATGGTTGTCTTCAGTAACTTGGAAGGTAGAGCATAGGCCTACTGAGTCTGCTGAGGTGTAGGAAGAGGAGGCAAAATGGAACGTAAGTGGCACATGTTGGTTGCTACTGGCTGCATTTATTTATTTATTTATTTATTTTTGCTGAGGAAGATTAGCCCTGAGCTAACATCTATTGACGGTCTTCCTCTTTTTTTTTTTTGTATGTGAGCTGCTTCCACCTCATGGCCACTGACAGATGAGTGGTGTAGGTCTGCACCCAGAAACTGAACCTGGGCCACCAGAGCAGAGTGCACCAAACTTAATCACTAGGCCACTGGGGCTCACTCTACTGGCTGCATTTAATTAGATATTATAAGAAAGAGACAAACTCAGGGAAGAATTGGCTTGTTTACAAGCAAAAAATGAAAAGGAATTAAAAAATCCACAAATGTGGCATTTTGCAAGGTTGGAAAAGCTGACTGTATCTAGGCCCTGAAAACAAGAGATAAAGCTGAGAGAGGTTTTTGGCAACAAATGTCCATTACAACCCTTCCATGTAGAAAAGATCTAGTTAAGAATATGGTCCTCCCACCCAAGCTGGGTAGGCATCATCAGTTGAGAGAGAGAGACGTATGGGGCCAAGGATAGCAACCAGGCTTGAAAATTAGTATAGGAGAGAACAGCAGGTGTGGTTACTACCATAGGGGAACAGCTCTGCTATGGCTTCCTGGCAACCTTGCACATATCCACGTAGGCAGAGGTTGGAATTACAGCAAGTCTGAGCCTCAGCTAAACACCATGTGCTCCTGCTGGAACACGAGAGGAACGGAGGCCTCTAAGGAGCTGCTAGCTGGGAGGCCACCTCCCACTTGTCTTCCGCCACCCCGCTCCCCCCCACCCCCGGAAGCTGTCGTCAGGTAGTTTCTCATCACCTCCCAGATTCTGATGAGTTATCGAGTTTTCTGCACCACTCCCCTCAGAATAGAGCTGCAGATTATGAAACCACTTAGCTGCTATCTAATTTGGTTCCTCAGCAATAGGACTTCCCATAATAGCCCATTTTGTCTCAGTGGCATCTTTTTTGGCATCTGGGAGGAGGACCCGGGGAGCCGGCACCTTTGGCTTCTTCTTCTTTTTTCCCATCTATAGAAGTAATAAACCATCTAAATCTAAAAGTGTCTCATGTTTCTTCACCAGTCTAATCAGTCAGGCCTTGCCCTTGCCCTTGCCCTTGTCTCATATGTGAGACGTCCCCCACTACCACGTGAAACTGACTGGAAGCAAATAGACCTGAAGTTTACTAGAGTTTTGAGATAATTGCTTTGTGAAGAAACCAGAAGCCTGGAGTATTCGAACTTTGATACAGTCTTCAAGCTTGCATAGGCAGAAGTGGGTGAAAAGTCATCCAGCCCCCAAGGAGCACAAACTCCTCCATACCTCTCCAGAAATGGCGAGAGAGGATAATGGAAAAGGAAGACCCTCCCAGAGAGAGGTGCCAGGGACCTTAGAGAGCAGTGAGTGAAGGAGCTACTTTCAGAGAGCTGAATCTGAATCTAATCAGGCAGAGGAGCCAGTGCCTGCCCGGTAGGACTTCAGAGTTGATACTGCCCAGCAATGGCTACGGGCCTCCTCTCCTCCCCTTTCTGGAAGGGAGTTTTATTGTAGTTATTCTGTCCCTGCTCCAGCATTGTATATCAGGTATGCAACGGGGCAGGGGAGGGGTGGGCAGCAACTTGCGTTTTTAGTCCATTTGTCACTGGATTCTGGCCTATGGTGGATTCTGGCAGAGACCATTTAGCAGACCCTTAGCTACCCACACATATCCCCTCCACCTTACCACTCTTAAACACATTGGGAAACTTCCAGATGCCAGCATGTGTGTTTGTATGAAGGCATTCTCTGACACCAGGAGTCTGCTTTGCCACCTACACAGTAGGCCAAAGGGCAAGAGGACTTACGACCCATGGAAAAAACCCTCAATGACTGACAGGAATTGGTGTACAAAGACTCTTGTTTGCAAACTCCTGGGATGGGATATTCTACCGTGGCTCTCAGAGTTTCCCCAGTGGAATTAAGCCCTGGTCTCCACATGGTAGCTGACATAATACATCCTTTAGATGCCTTCTTTTTCTTATGTCACTTCCTCATTCTCTTACCTGTGTTTCTTTACTCACTAAACAAAACATTTGAAAAGTCGTGTCTAAAAGTCTGTTTTCTGGGGGAAGTCTAAGACAAAAGATCCAAGATGTGTGCTTCCCTTTCATAGTGCGTGTTGTTGCTGGGAAGAAGTTGCCCAGGCAGGGATTCCAATTCCCCTCCTCTTTGCATCTAGATGTGCTCATGTGCTGAGTTATGGCTAATAGACTACAGGTAGAAGTGATGTTTATTACTTCCAGGCCTGGTCCATAAACAAGACTCTTGTACTACCTTCCACACTCTTCCTTATTCTGGGTGTCAACACACAGGGCGTTCTTGGAAGCCCCATGTTGAAAATGGCAGAGCCTCCCTCCGTCTGGATCTCTGAATGACTGACCAGAACTCTGACGGTGAGCTTCCCACCCCTGCTTCTCCAACAAATTACCACCCCTGCTGCCAATTGGGCTTTATATTAGCCGGAAGTCAACTGCCATCATGTTAAACCATTGAGATTTGGAGCTTCATCTGTTATGGCAGCTAGTACTAACCTAGTCAATTCTGAACTTGGCAAGATTTGGAAAAATGTTTTGCCAATTCAAAAATTGTCTCTGTTACTACAAAGCCCTTGGAAAGAGGAAAGAGTGAGATTACTCCAGAGACACATGCCAGAGGCCACATGGAGAAGAGCATTGACTATGGAAGCAAGCTGCCTAGTTTGAATGCTGGCTCTGATGTGTACTAGTTGTCTGACCTTGGGCAAGTTACTTAACTTCTCTGTGCTTCATTTTCTTCCTGTATGAAATGGGAATGAGAATAGCATTTACCTATAGGGTTACTATAAATTAATATTTGAAAATCAGCTTAGTGCCTGGTACACAGTTCATGATAAATTTACAAATTCTTAATTTTCCAAGGCCATTCTTGCCATGACATCTTTAAATTCTTTCCTACAGGACGATCTTCTACCCTTCTGCTCTGTATTGTGAGAGTTTGTGCCAATGCAACAGAGATGGCTTGAACACTTTGAGTTCCTTCCTTTGCAATATGACCTTGTCCCTGTACATAGGAAGTTTTTGTAGGTTGCTCCACTCAGAGGTCAGAGGGCACCTTGGCCCTGATGGATTTGGGCTGTGTTAGTTTTAGGTGGATCATTAACCTTGAGAGGAATGTTCACCTCTGGACGCTATTTGCTTTTTGTCCACAGGTCTGCAGAGAAGATTGCTCAACCTACTTTTGAGACAGTCATTTATGTGCACTTATTCATCTATTCGATCACTTTTTTTGAGCCCTATGTTATCCCAGGCACTATTTTCCAACCTAGGATTAGCGTGTTGAACAAGAAAAATGTGGTCTCCACTCTCAGAGACCCTATTTCCTTTCAAAGTTATGAATAAATGAAGGAAGGGCTAGGGTAGTTATAAATGAGCACAATAACCTGTGAAATTCATTCATTCAGAAATAATATACTAGAGTTTTAAAAAATGAAAGTTAAAAATTAGTATCTAATGTAGTCCGCACTTGTGCTTGTGTCGTGATGAAGTAGGTTTGCAGGAATTGTGCCCTTGTTGAGTGCATCTACAAGATGTGGATACAGCACCCAAAAAACATCTATTTAAGAGCATTAGACATTAGAGGGGCCAACTTTCTGGAAGGGGAGGGGATAACACAGAGAGGTGAGATGACATTCTGCAGTCACATCTCCCTGGGGGAACCTGCCACTTCTGGGCACAAGGCAAGAGGCATTTGGCTTCACCTGAGCTGGGGGCACTGCTAGCAGAGCTATGGCTGTCCAGGGCTGGAATGACAGAAGTGGAGGCAAGGTTCCAGTGAGAAGGGAGGTGCAGAGAACTAAGCCTGACAGATGACTCATTTTCCCCTTTGGATATTTGGCACAATTTGAAGCTCCATGGATGGGAGGCAAAAGGGACAATTCCACACTGTAGAGGGTCCAAGGAATAGACCCGGTATATTTGTTTCCTATTGCTGCTGTAACAATTACCACAAACTTAGTGGCTTAAAATAACACAAATTTATTATCTTATAGTTCTGTAGGTTGTAAGTGAAAAGTGGGTCTTACTGGGCAAAGTTGAAGGTGTCAGTAGGGCTGTGCTCTTTTCTGAAGGCTTGACAGGAGAATCCATTTTCTTGCCTTTTCCAACTTTAGAGCTGGTCATCTTTCTTGGCTTATGGTCCCACCCACTCCCATCTTCAAAGCCAGGAATGGCAGACTCTTTTGTGTGTGTGTGTGAGGAAGACTAGCCCTGAGCTAACATCTGCTGCCAATCCTCCTCTTTTTGTTGAGGAAGACTGGCCCTGAGCTAACATCCGTGTCCATCTTCCTCTACTTCATATGTGGGACGCCTGCCACAGCATGGCTTGCCAAGCGGTGCCATGTCCGCACCGAGGATCCCAAACAGCGAACACCGGGCCGCCAAAGCGGAACGTGCACTTAACCGCTGTGCCACCGGCTGACCCTCAGGGTCTTTCTTACATTGCAGCACTCAGACGCTAACTCTTTTGGTTCCCTCTTCCACATTTAAAGGACTCTTACGATTACCTTTGCCTACCCAGATAATCCAGGATAATCTCTTTATCCCAAAGCCACCTGATTAGCAACTTTAATTCTAGCTGGAACCTGAATGGCCCTGCCACGAAAT